CCATCACAGGGACACCTGGACAGGTCTCCAGTCCATCACAGGGACACACAGAGACAAACAACTATTCTCTCTCTCTCACCTGGGGATAATTTAGAGTTACCAATCAGACTAACGTGCATGTTTTGGTCTGTGGGAGGAAACCGGAGTAAACCCACAGAGAGAACATGCAAACTCCACCCAGAAAGGCCCCGGGTCAGGATTTGAACCGGCGACTTTCTTGCTGAGAGGCAACAACTCTACCAACTGAGCCACCGTGCCGTCCTCATCTGAACCAAGTTAATTTATGGTCAACAAACTTCTTCATCATAACTCTGTCTGTCCAAGAGCAGCAGGGATGATGAAGATAAATGGCAACGTGGCAGCACGATGGATCAGTGGTTAGCACTGTTGCCTCACAGCCAGAAGGTCCTGGGTTCAATCCCCGGTTGGACCTGGGTTCTTTCTCTGTGGAGTTTGCATGTTCTTCTCGTGCTTGCGTGGGTTTTCTCCCGTTTCCTCCCACAGAATAAAAACATGTTCGTCTGCCTTCAGGCCCAGGCCTCGGTGGGGTTTGCCTGTTAAATAAAAGTTAATAAATAAATCACAGAAACATGAAACGATAAATAAAAGTGAAGTGTTTAACGTGGGGTTGGTTGGCGGCAGGACCGTGTCTGGTCTCAGTCCGTCTGATGCGGCTTCAGCTGCAGAACTTGAACTCTCGGTAACTTCACTGTTTTACTTTGAACAAACTCTTTCCCAGACGTGGATTGATCCGTCGGGATGAACGAAAACACTGGGAGAAGTTCTGGGTGCAGGTGACGTTTGGTCCAATCAGCTGTGGACAGAGTGTCTCTTACCCCACTGTGGACGAACTTGTCCCCCAGCAGGCTGCTCATCACGTTGGAGCTGAAGTCCACGATGTTCTGGATCTGCCTGAAGGCCTGCTCCACCGTCTAAACAACAACAAGAGGAGACATCCTGAACTGGACTCTCAGGAGTCCCAGAACTGATCAGGGTCCAGCTCAGACTCGTGCAGACAGGAGACGGTCACGACTAACGAGACAGAACCCTGAGGCAGATTTGATCTCGGTGAAGGATCAAACCAGCAGCTTTCTGACAACAGAACCAGTTTAACATCAGAAGAGTCTCTGAAGCAACACGTTCAGCTGAGTCTGGTCAGAACAAGAGGGTTCTGTCCCGTCGTCTCGGACTCACCTGTGGAGGGTTCTCAGAGTCTTCTGCCGGATATTTGAGCAAACGTAAAACTCTGGAGACCTGCGAGAACAAGAGAAAGTTCTGGTTAGGATCGGGTGGTCCAGACTCGCTCCTCGCTGAGCGTTCTTGGCTGAAAACGAACAGGAAACGAGAAACGTTTAAAAACCGTCTCGTTGCTGAAACTCGGCGCGTGTGGACGTTCTCCGTGCTCGTTTGGTTTAAATGGAAAAGAGTTCGTCCTCGTACGGTTATTAAAGTTTACACCATCAGAGCACGGATCGACTCGTTCTGTGGTTCCGTTGTTTCTCGGCTCTTCAGCAGCTCTTCAGGTTCTGAAGAGGCCCGTCAACGACCCATTCATCCACAGCAGGTGGGTCAGGGTGGGGGTCCTCGAGCACAAGGACTGAGGACTTTTATTCTGTAAAAAGACTCAACTTTATTTTTCTGTAAATCTACAGGAAGTGGTTGCTCCGGGATCAAGCGGTGAAAATAAAAACAACCGTGTTAATCCGTCATAATCCCAGAGTTTAACCAAGCTTCGTTCTGATACCATTACTGGTTTTGTGTTTAAGTTCTGGTTTAGTTTCCGTTCATGGAGTTTAGTGTTCTGCACCTTGTCCCGGTGTTCGGTTCTGATATTTTCATTGTTTTACCGGATCAGTCCAGTTTCTGGACTCGTTGAATCCGTTCATTTTGTTGCTGCCACGTCAGCCGTTTGTTTCCAGTTAGAATTAAAGTTGAGATGTTTTAACTGAAGTCCTCGTCTGGTTCCTGGTCCAGAACCTCCGGCACCGTGGTACTTTTAAAGTCAAATGAAAATGTGTCGCTTGTTCAGTTTCTGGTTTATTAGCAGCTGCCATCGAGTTGCTGTTCATGAGAATTATTTTCAGGAATTCTTTTTGTTTTGCCAAAATTATCCAGCCCTTAAAAACACGTGGGCCCGTCAGAACCTTCTGACAGCTTGAGCCTCACTTTCTACTCTGCATTTCTGTCTCAATGTACAAAATGTCTTCAGAAGAAGTTTCAGTATTTGTTTGGTCAGATTTTGTTGAAGTACAATGTTTTTTTTTTTTTTTTGTGGAGTAAAACTTGCAGAAGGGGAACAAAGTGAGTCTCCCCCCCCCCCAGCAGAACCTTCAGGCAGGTCCAAACACGACCAAGAACAAAAGAAACGGTTCTGTGAAGAGCGGGGAACATCACAGATGTTTCCAGGAGTTCAGAATTCACCCGGGACTTTTAACAACAGACGTCAGAGATCGGGTTCAGAGCCGAGCCGACCTGCAGAACCTGCAGAACCTTTCTGGAGGAGGGCTGCCTCTAATCACACGACTTCTCAAAAGGTTTGGCCCAATCGCAGCACCGAGACTTTTCTAAGAATCAGGAGACTCTTTTTCCACAGATGATGCAATCAAAGGCCGACGGTTTGTTAGGGAACATTTAAAAGGTCAAACACTTTACAGTAACGACCCCGCCCAACATTTAATCCTTGTTTTATTAGTTTATACAACTTCACACACGACTGTCACTTGAAACATGTGTTCATCATTCGTGTAAATAAAAATATTTAAATGTAAAAATATACATTTCATGGTAACTTCAGCTTTAGAACAAATCTCAGTCAGAGAGAAAACATCCTCCTACAACCAGCTGCTCTACAGCAGGAGTGGGCAATTCAACAAAGAGGAAATATGAACATTTAACCAGGACTAAAGGAAGTCAATGAAAAAACTGAATGTTTCCTTCAAAGCTTCATTTGCATAAAATTAATCCAAGTTCATATTGAACGTTCTTTAAACACAATCAGCATCAGGGAGCTGTTGGAAAAACAACCTGACAAATACTGAACATCCCAGTGTAAACGCTTCAAACAACATCTAAACCAATTTCAACTGTTCTGTTTCTGAACAACTCTTCAGACTGTATCTAAACTGGTTTCAACTCTTCAGACTGTATCTAAACTGGTTTAAACTTTTCAGACTGTATCTAAACTGGTTTAAACTCTTCAGATTAGACCTGAGCTGGTTAAAACTCGTCTCACAGTGTCTGAACTGGTTTAAACTTTTCGGACTGTATCTAAACTGGTTTAAACTCTTCAGACGGTATCTAAACTGTTTTCAACTCTTCAGACGGTATCTAAACTGTTTTAAACTCTTCAGACTGTATCTAAACTGGTTTAAACTCTTCAGACTGTATCTAAACTGGTTTAAACTTTTCAGACTGTATCTAAACTGGTTTAAACTCTTCAGACTAGACCTGAGCTGGTTAAAACTCTTCTCACAGTGTCTGAACTGGTTTAAACTTTTCGGACTGTATCTAAACTGGTTTAAACTCTTCAGACTGTATCTAAACTGGTTTAAACTCTTCAGACTGTATCTAAACTGGTTTAAACTTTTTGGACTGTATCTAAACTGGTTTCAACTCTTCAGACTGTATCTAAACTGGTTTATACTTTTCGGACTGTATCTAAACTGGTTTAAACTCTTCAGACTGGACCTGAGCTGGTTTAAACTCTTCTCACAGTGTCTGAACTGGTTTAAACGCTTCGGATTGGACCTGAACTGGTTTAAACTCTTTGGACTGGACCTGAGCTGGTTTAAACTCTTTGGACTGGACCAGAGCTGGTTTAAACTCTTCTCACAGTGTCTGAACTGGTTTAAACTCTTCGGACTGGACCAGAGCTGGTTTAAACTCCTCTCACAGTGTCTGAACTGGTTTAAACTCTTCGGATTGGACCTGAGCTGGTTTAAACTCTTCTCACAGTGTCTGGACTGATTTAAACTCTTCGGACTGGACCTGAGCTGGTTTAAACTCTTCAGACTGCATCTAAACTGGTTTAAACTCTTTGGACTGGACCTGAGCTGGTTTAAACTCTTTGGACTGGACCAGAGCTGGTTTAAACTCTTCTCACAGTGTCTGAACTGGTTTAAACTCTTAGGACTGGACCTGAACTGGTTTAAACTCTTCGGACTGGACCTGAACTGGTTTAAACTCTTTGGACTGGACCTGAACTGGTTTAAACTCTTCGGACTGGACCTAAACTGGTTTAAACTCTTCGGAGTGGACCTGAACTGGTTTAAACTCTTCTCACAGTG